GCCTTTAACTCTGAGATATTGAGAGGGAACTTCCAGCATGCGTAGCTGTAGGTTGGGTAACTTCAGAAGCAGTGCGAACAAGACGGGGACGCAAAACACCAGGGAAAAGAAATAGATTTTTTGAAAGTGTTTTTTCGTCCCTTTGAGGATTTTAAGACCGATTGGGTGATTAGTGTGGATCGTCCTCTGTTCCTGATGTTACTGGGATGCTCCTACACGCCAAGCGCAATTGTGTCGGGTCCTTCGATCCCTGAGGAAGAAAAAAGAAATTTGATTTTTCCTAATACTGATGCATTTTGCAACGTACGACCTTATCTATGAGAGTGTATTACCGTAAAAAAATTCATCCACTTACTGCTGGCAGTGCGATTGATCCTGGGAAGCGAGGGATGGGGAAAGAATGCTCAACATTGATTTTTTCGCTTCTAAAGCATTGATTCATAATTTTTAGTGTTTAATAGTGTTAATGCAAATAATCGATGTAAGCTTTGTGCATTTCTGTCAGGTTATGGTCGAGGACGAGGTACAGAACGGGGTCGAGGAGGTTACCGAGGTGGCCGAGGTGGCGGCGGTCGTGGTTCGTATCGCGGTGGATACCAGCAGACCTCGTCATCATCACAGCAGCAGCAACAGCAGCAGGGCCTGTTCAGCTGCAACGTGGGAAGCAATGTATGGGATAATTCGCAAGCACTAAAAATCGACATGGCGAAGGATTGGACGAACGCAGCCGCCACTATGATCGATGATAGTGCCGAAGACACGGAATGGGTACGTTCTTATACGTTACGGTGTCCCGGTTCTTGTAAGGTCTGGCCTGCCCACCCCCTCCCCCCCCCTTCCCCACCCCGCTCCCCACCCCCTTCCCTTCATTTATATTTGGTATTTTTCTAGCATCCCGGCACAAAAATTTGGCATTTTTAGACACACATGTGTTAATTTTCGACTTAATTTTGCCCACTTTGTTGCTTTTTTTAGCCAAATTTTTGCCCTGTCCTAGCAGAATTGTG